TTTCTACTGTACGGTCGCACGTCTTCCATCGAACCAGCATGTTTGAAAACCCGCCGGGAATCGTACGATTCTCGGCGAGTTGGTGGCCTGCTGGTTCGACAACTGCCGAACGGGCCGGTGTGCGCACGCGCACACTGCCCGTTTGCAGTCAGCGTAAGCCCGCCCCTCATTACAGTCATCGCAAACCCGCCCCTCAGGGGGCGTGGCTTGCGATGAGCGAGAGTGCGATCTGCCCGCCCACGATGGGCCGTTCCAAGATGGGCAGATCGTACTTTTTTAAATCCCTTTACAACCATCGCAAGACTAAGGTCTTGCGATGGTTGTACAGTGTATGGCCACCTTAAGTTTATTCTACATCCAATGTTTTATCTTCTATTTACTTAATGGACTATTGAAGATCCAGGATCATGGACATTTTTTAACCATTTATTATTTTCACTGGAGTGCAAGTTACACGCATGCGTTTTTCTTGTTGGTATTCTTTGCACATTGCATCACATTGATTCACAGTTAATATTTAGTGCATTTGATTTTTCATTATGGATATGTTGTAGCATTTACATTTACACTAAGGCGCATGTTATATACATGCGTTTCTTTTTTGTTTTGCACTTTTTACACATTGTATCACATTACTCCAAGGTCAGTATCTACTATATCTGACATTTTGCAGTCTCATTCACACAGCGCGGCTTTTACCATTCATTTCATACACCTACAGTATGCTGAATCAGAGACAAGCTCTCGGTGGATCCTGGTAGCACAATGATGTTTTCAGTGGCAGACATATGCCTCACTGCACATTATCTTTGATGATGGTCAGTCTAAAGGTGCCCATACACTGCTCGATTCTCGTACGAGAATCGAACAGTGTGAACGAAGACGTGCGACCGTTTCTACTGTACGGTCGCACGTCTTTTGTCTAAGGAGCACGCTAGAAAACCAGCCGAGAATCGTACGAGTTTCGGCTGGTTAGAACAGTGCTCGGGAGACAAAAGCCGAACGGGCCGGTGTGCGCACGCGCACACTGCCCGTTCAGCATTGCAGTCATTGCGATGATCGAGAGTGCGATCTGACTGTCCAAGATGGGCAGATCGTACGTTTTTTTTTATCAATTTACAACCATCGCAAGACTAAGGTCTTGCAATGGTTGTACAGTGTATGGCCACCTTTAGCGCTCATGCACATGGAAATCAAAGCACGTAATCAGAAATGGTATATCCCCTCTTCTGCATGTACAGGACAACTCCCGTTTACAATTATGATGAGTACATATTGTCACACACATACAGTGCAGGTTAGCAAGGCAATGCACTTAAACTCTATGAAATTATTAAGTGCCATAACCCATAACTAGCAATCACATTTCAGTTTATTATAATCTGATTGGTTGTAACTGGTTATTACAACATGCAAACAGTAAATTCCTTTTGCTTCACCATAAAAGGAACCCACACAGGACAGAGTCAAAAGAGTTGC